AATGTGTGCTCACAATATTTAGCGATGAGCAATCGCAGCCAATCTTCGGAGAAGCTCCAACCGCGGTTCTCCTCTAATGGTGCTGTCGCTCTCATCTATCAGCGGAATTATCGGAGGCAACTCCGGTGGGATCGGTCGTCGAGCCGAAAGTACTCTTCTATATTTACTTCTCTTCTGATCCGCTCTGGCTAAGTACGCCTTGCTCGGACATTGTCAGACGACCACAAAAGATGTTTAGGGTGTGGTGTTGTATGCTGTTGGGCCCTCTGTCTGTTTGGTGGGCTGTCAGGCGGACGAGCGGGCGGACTGTCCTGATATCTGAATCTCGAGTATGTCGGATCTGGATGTTGTCCATATGTCGATGCGGACTCCGAAGCCACGCGTCGCGGTGTTCATTAGATTCATGGAGAAAGCTCAAAGGAAGACCAGCTGTGAATTAGCAGAGTGACTGGTGAAAGACCGCCTCCGAACGGTCAGTCTATTCGAAACATACTCGCTCACACTCCCGGGGGAGCATCTCGTGGAACTACCGTGAAGAGAGTACCGTTGTGTAACCTCGCGTCGATGCATTGACTTCCGAGAATTCTGTCTGATGACGGTCTCACCGTCGGCGTCGCCGGAACCGCTAACTCAGAGCTCTTGTTTCTCATTCGGTTGACTGAATGCGTTATACAGACGGAGTCGGAATAATCTGTCAGAACTGTCAAATAAAAGGATTCGTCTCGCGGGAGAGCTTTGTTCTGCGTCTCAGTGAGAGTCGGTAGGCCTGAATGCAATTCGGTATCTCAGTCGGTCATTCCGGGAGCTGTCCTCAAAATGAGGACGATTCGTGCGACAAGCCGAAGCATCCATGATTCGGAGAAAAGCTCCTCGCATGAATTGTCCGTTTGCCGAGTTACAATTTTGATCTGTTTACGTGTCTGCTCATGAAGCAGTCTGTCAAATTTGCTTGTTTTATGATAAATAAACAATAGCGGACATATATCAAGTACTTTGTATCCTGGTAAGGAGTAGAGAGCCATAAGGTCATCGCGGAACGTTGTGAGACATTCCTGAAATATTTAGTTCGCCTGCATGGTTTCGAAGCGAACACTCCACACCATCTGTCAGGGATGTGTTTACCTGCAGATAGCACAATTTACTCAGATCTACGATTCCCGCTCCTCTGAATGCTGATGATACTTGAGGTAATGTTGAATTGTGTTGTTGGACGGAAGCGGCTCCACGAAGTAGAAGTAGTATCTTCCTCAGTCAGAGCGAATTCCGAAGGCTGGAAACGATCCTGGACGATGGATTCTTGGCTCAACTAGTGCACGACGTCATGATGACTCAGACGTTTGTAGCCGCGGTAGTCGAATGAAGCGTTCGTTCACTCATCGCGTAGTGATACATCCGTTGGACGTAATATCCGTCGAGCTGCTCGTGAATTCCTGATCCATTCGACTGAATTATCGTGAGTGTCGCGGACTTCCGCGCTCGGGGGCCACGCAGCGGGCGAAAGTACACTCCCGTCACTTTGCGGAGTGAGCGCTGAAATTCTGCAGCGGCAGTCCGGGTAACCGACTGGCTGAGTGAGTGACTCATCTCTGTGGACGGTTTTGCCGGCTCATACCCTCGCTGGTCCCTTGAGGTGAGGAGCGCGCGACCGAATTTAACATCGACGTTCACGGACGAAAATACGGGTGGTCTGTTGGCGGTGTAGGAGATTTATAGTTTACACATGGCGAGTCCGAACGTCACCGGCCATATAAGGCGCCGGAAACGAATCGACCATAAGGATAGATATTGCTTGCTCTCGTTAGTCGGTCCACGCCGCGCGGTATCGCACGGCTCGACATGGTGGAACGATCCAGTCAGCAGATTTTTCAAAAGAAACATGCGGAACGTGCCGTAGAGCACAGATCGATCGTTTTCCCTTTCGTCGTCATGTAAACACTGCTCTCAGCGCGGGCGAATCAGCGGCATCCTATCTGTTTTTCCCCGTCTTCGATCAGGTTGTAGGGTCCCTTGGAGAGGGTCGGAATGAATCATGAGAACAATGAATATGGTTTCCCAGTCCATCGCTTAGACCGAACGATATTGCGAGCCATTCGAGGCAAAGCAGGACTATCCAATCCGAATACCTCCTTGTCTGAGAATCTACTGCGTTTATATACAACATGACAAGTCGTAAATTTTCCCGACTGTATCCCTCAAGGCGCGGCGTCACAGAAAGAATCGCTTGAGGTCTCGATCAAAAACTCCGTGGAAGCATCGCCCGCCTTCGGACAAGTCGCAGGGAATTCATGCCTTGTGTGAGGTCACTTCTGTTTGTTCGGCGAGAGCCGGATTGCCTGTCGGTGCCGTCGGCGCAGCATTGAAGAAACTCTCTGTAAAGACCGAGCGGGTCGGGGTCAGCAGCCGTGGAGTAGCTTTCGAACTGATAGCGAGAAAATGTATTCGACGCGTTACGTGAAAACGTTGTCCGTTGAGTTCAAGAGGCAGGTCGATCGTAGAGATAGCTCCCCTCCAGAGAAAGACATCGATTCCTCGTTATTCGAATCACCGTTTTGGGGATAGTCAAGCAGAAGTCGCGCGAGTTTCACACCTCGACCGCGAAGTTTGTCATGGCTGCCCCCGCTTCGAAATTCATGAACAGATGTTACGGCTCCAGACACCTGTGCGGCTGAGAAAAAAAACGTTTCCGTTATCTGGGAGGCCCGAAGCACCCATCGCAGCTTTCATTCCTCGGGAGAGCCGGCGTCAGGGCTGTTAGCTGGGCGTATAAGTGTTTCTGGATGAGTTCATCAGTGCGAACGGACACAAGTGGAACTTTGACTTCAACGCAAGGTGGAGGAATCGCGAACCTATGCGGGAGCCATTTCCGTGACTCATTCCGATGAAATCGAATCTTCCCACAGCTCTCCGTGACGCGCTGTCGAGACTCGTTATACGTCAGTGCTTCCCTCGGAGTAATACAGTAAGATTGCTGCTTCCGAACGTCTGAAGTCCCGCAGACTCCGCGAACCGCGAACAAGTGTCTTCTGTTTTATCAAGAGGGAGAAAAATCGATTTTTTTCCTTACGAAACGCGTGGGATTCCACGACCTGCTGATTGTACGGTCGACTGTCGTCGTAGGACCGACTTCGGCTTGCGACGCGGAGCCGCCAACGTTTAACTTTGTAGCTAACAGTTTGAACGAGCCAGAATTCTTCGTAAATGCTCATGCTGTCGCTAGGCCTGAGACCGACTCGAGCTCGAGGATAGATTTGTCTCCGATGCAATCGGCGGACAGGTAGGTTGGCGTCGGCGTCGGCAAGAGCCTTCTAAGGCTCGAGGTTGGGCTCTCGTTACGTTCCTTCGGGCGTGGTCATGCTTCGTGTGGTGTGTGTCATCCACTGCAAGTTTTGACTTGTTCGGGAAGGTCTTTCTTTCCTCACTCAAGTCCTATCTCGAAGTGTATTGTTCGGCTGTCGTAATGGCTTTTCCGCGGGTCGGCTTGGAGCGCCTCCAGAAAAACTTCTATCGGTCATACTGGTCCCGCCTGACCCCGGAAGACCGAATCAGACGAACTGGATTCTGAACTGAGCTCTGTGTACCTTACAAAATCCTGTGGAGTTCGGTCACATAGAGGTTTGCGGAATGGTCTTACGATCGGGTTCGAGTGAAACCTTGTTCGACATCGTGATCGTTCTCGGACACTCACAGAGCCGCAGAGAGACAACATCCCGCGTTCCGGAGCTATATTATTTTTCACTAATGCCGCGCAAACATCAGCTCTCATTGATTCGCTGGACCTGATATTGCGCTTCGAAAGGGGGATTGTCGGAAATTCAGAGTGACAGGCCAATAAGAAGCTCTGCTTCAGACAATCCTGTGATTTACGGAACTCCAATGTTCCGCAATCCTGATCAGGAATGCTCGCTTACTCCGCGACGACGTCCTGAAAGAAAGGTTCTCCCGTCTTTTCTCTTTTTTCCCTCCGCCGAGCTCCGCGGGGTCGATCAGGAACGAACCGGTAGCCGCCGCTCTCAGGGACTCAGGACGGCGTCGATCTCGGAGATGACGGCTGAAGATAAATTATTTTCCATGATTAGAGTAGCTAGGTAAAATGCATACGATCCCATGATACTGATGAATAAATTATACTCGGAACATTCAACCCGATCCGCGCATATCGCGAGCTGACTTATGACGATTCCCGGAAATCCAGAACTCTCTTGCGGTTCATCCTTGTCCTAGCGCTCAATGCGCGTAAACAATGCGGTTTATAGAACACGACACAATCGAGGAAAGCCGTTACCGAGAACGACGGATTTGATCGCCTAAGAGCTTGGTCCGTTTGTGGGTTTTCTCGCTTAACGCCTTGATGTCATCAAGTTTCTCGACGACTGACTGAGTCGTTGTCTCGCTCGCTTCGACTTGGTGACGGACGACTCGCAGACAGTGTCGCTCTTTATGCTCTGCACTACTGTAGCGATCCCTATCATTAACCAATAGCTGCTTGGCCGACAGGGCGGCTGTCAGACATGCGAACGGCTATCTTTAATGCTTTTCTCTGCCCAGGACTGCCGAATAGGCGGCCTGAAATGTTCGGGATGTCTCCCTTGCCGCTTTGAAGGTATGCGTTTTTGATACTGGACTCATCTCATGCGTCAGAGCCCTTGCCGGAGATATGGCGACAACGTATTCGATGGACGTGTCAAGTTAAAGGGCGACGCGGGGAAGCTTGCCGACTTCTTGACAGCGCTCTGCCTCGGAGCGAGATGGAATCGAAATGATTTATGATGATTCGCGAACGGTTGTATCGCTAACTTGATGCACAACTAGGCTGGTGGTCTCGGGTTTCCACGAACTCATTTTCGCCTCGCTACCCGGCCTGCACGCACAATCTCAACGCGCGGGCAATACGTTGGGATCTAATGAAAAATAATCAGATTAGGAGAGGCAGGAGCCAAGCAAAATAATAATCAAGGATCTCGATTACCCCTCCAGCAATGATTCCCCCTTGAGAGGGGGAAATGGAGTTCGATCCGACCGAGAGAGCTCGTGCGGTGAAAGTAAATCAATTCCCATAGTCTCGGTGGAAAGCGGACGACACCTAACATGTTCCGTATTCATTTTCCAGGGCATTATTCGGAGCTCCCAAAGATAGAGACGACGATGGCGTAGTTAGCGGTAGCGTATATGGCTGCAATATCCTAGACCGAGTATGCGAGAAAATTCTGAAGGGGAAGTCGAAGTTCTTGAGCCTCGCTGGACGCAGGGTCGAGATGAAGGCCGAGAACATGAGCTACGGTGAGTCCTGGTCCTCATTCTTTTTAACTTCACGTTCCTGTATCTACCTCGCGGGAGTTTCGTGAATCGCAAGATGGTATGACGTTGGTTTTTCTAGGGATGTCGATGGCTTACGACTTCAAGAACGAACAATTCTCGGTTTGCGCTCCACGGAGTACATTATCGTGGGTCAATGGGCCAGACGTACGGAAAGATCTCCACTATTTCACGATTGGATCGTGTTACGTATACACGAAGGAGCTCCTGCCCCTGGCCGAACTTTTCGCAGAAGGGGATCTCCAGAGAGCTGAGGACCTCAACGATCACGACAAGTTCAAGGTCCTGCATCACATAAACTCCATGAGAGAGCTCGGCTTCTCGGTCTCCACGAAAAATGGGTGAGTTTGCAGCGCTGCCGTGTCCATTCTGCTCTCCTCTCCATTCCGATCTCCTCTCGGGGAAAAATACGCGTAGGAATTGTCGTCGGTCTCGCAGGTATCATCTCTTCGTCGAGATATTGCTGAATTTATTCTTTCCTATCAGGAAATACGTTCTCGGCGCTCCGGGATACCAAGACTGGAGCGGAAAGTCCGTCACTTACGAGACGGCGATGGAACAGTATCCTTACAGCACAACGCCAGTTGAGATGCGCGACAGCGCGGATTATTCGGGCTACGCTGTGGATCAGATAACGGTCAACAAAACCGAATATGTCGTTCACGGATCGCCCCGTCGGAACAACGTCGTCGGTGAGTCCGGATTTCCATGCCCCGTTCGGGATCATTGCAAAGCTTAAGGTCCCGTATACGAGCGTAACCTTTCGCGAAATCGAGTCTGTTGAGCACAGAGTCTTAGATGATCGATCAGAGCCGGCTGAATGATTAATGAGGAAATTTTCCAATCGTCACAGGTGAGGTGATTCTCGCGACGCACGGTGCTACTCACAATACGAAGACCAACATCAGAATTCCTGGCGTTCAAACCGGTGAATATTTCGGGGCAGCTGTTGCTGTCGCCGATGTCAATTGTGACGGAATCGACGATCTTCTGGTTGGAGCGCCATTCAATTCGCCAACGGAAGACGTTCGCGATACGTTCGGCTCTGTGACAGCTAAATTAGCCAAGGTAATTACAGCTGGTAGTCGCAGCTCCACGATTCATAAACGGACGTAGGTACGCGGAATGCGTAAGATTGCAGTGTGTATTGAATTCGGGGCTAAGCCAAACTTCCTCCCGCAGGGCAAGTACGACCGCGGGGCGGTCTATGTGTTCATGGGCAAAGAGAACGACATCGATCGGCGTCATTCGAAAGTACTGTATCCGGACGATCGCGACGAATCCTCCGGCGGTCGTTTCGGATCCGTGATCACAAATCTCGGCGATCTCGACAAGGATCGGTGTGACGAAATAGCGATCGGCGCTCCCTTTGAGGGCGGGCGCGGCGCCGTCTACATTTTCCGAGGTTTGTCCCCCTGACGATGAAAATCGGATTTCAGCGAAGATTATCCCTCGAGAAGTCGATGATGCCTGCCGTGATACGGTCTACTGAGAATTCACGCGAATCAATTCCCCGATAGGTTCTGCTAAGCACGGTTTGAGCAATGACGATCGGATCAAGATCGAGCCACCGCGACCCGAAGTTGAAGGCTTCGGCTACAGTATTTCCAAGGGTTTGGATATCACAGGCAACAAGTACCTCGATTTTGCCGTTGGTAAGTTTGCCCGTCGGAACTCGTCGATTTCCGTCCGATAGGATGACTGTCGTGCCCTCGCTGTATTCTGTACGAAAGAGTTAAGAAACAAATTACGCCTCTCCAGGTGCTGTTCTCAGTGGTCACGGCTTCGTGTATAGATCTCGGCCCGTCATCATCGTCAGGACCTCGATAAAATTGACCGAGAAACAAATCCCGAAAGATGGGGGGAAATGCTCCGCCAACGGACGGTGAGTCTCCTGGTGGAATATTGATTTTCCCCCCTTCGAGCTTCAGCGAGAAATGGACACAGCTGGAAGAAGTCTCATTTGATTTGAATTTTTCAGGAGAGATTTATTCTGTGTAAACATGACCATCTGTACCTCGTACGATGACCCCGAACCCACGAGCAGCGATGAGGCTAGAAGCTACTTTTTGAAGCTCGATATCAGTGCCGACGTCAAGAGTAAAACGCCGAGAGGTAAATTCCCGCTAGAGCTCAAGCGCCTTCCTCCTTATCCTGAGTTCATGCTCCCCCCGAACATGAGCATCCTCACTTAAAAAGGACTTTTTCTCATCTCTAGCGTTGATCGCCCTCGACAGCTACGATTATCAGCAAACAGCCATGAGCGCAGTCACTCGAGTGGTTCAGCTAGACAGCCCGGGAAAAGAGGAATGTATCGATGTCAGAGCTTTCGTCTTACCCGCCTCTCTTTCTCGGGACATGCTCAATCCGATCGAGTTCCGGGTGATGTATGACATCGAGGCGGAGCAGGTAAGCTGATTAGTCCCTTCTGTTCGGGGATAGCTTGGGAGAGACGTCCATCCAGGGCTACAGACGGACCTGCCCGCTTAATCGTCAATGCGCCAATCGTCAATGTATACTAAAAAGAAAAATTCTTACAGCCCGGTCAATTCTGTGCCAACTGCCCAGTTCTGTACTCGAAAGAACCCGCTAGCGCAACGACCGCCTACATGGTATGTGCACTCCGTATTTCCGTACGACTATCTAGCTCTATAGCTCTATAGAATTATCCATGTTCACAGTAGAATTCAGGAGACCTTCATGTCGATGGTAAGCTTTACGAGAGCGTCGGAATTTCCAGGTCAACTGCAAACACGAAGGCTGCGTGGTCCACCTTCGGCTTCGTGCCTCTGTCGACGGTCTCGAGAACGGACAAGCGATCGCTATCGGTCGTACAGAACCGCTTACGCTTAAAATCGATGTCGACTCGGCTTCGAGGAGCGACATTGCTTTTAGGACCGAAGTGGTTGTCACGCTAAATTCCGGGTTCGTCTTCAACAACCCAGACAAGTGCAGTCGGGTGGAGAACACCGAGGACTCTATCGCTTGCTTGGTCGACAATGAGTTCCAAGGTCAGTCCTTCCCTCAGCGTGATATATGTAGATCGAGTCTCATTCGGCCATCTGGAAGAGTTCGGTTTGATAGGGGTCTAATCGTTTCTTGTCCTCAGCTGGAGAATCGCGGTCGATTTCCCTCAAGCTACAGCTCGACGCGAGCCTTTCATCGAGCACGTCCACCGTTAGCTTCGGAGTGGCCCTGGTGACGGCTTCGAAAGACCAGAACGCGCAGGCGAACAACGTAACTTTCGAATTCCCTCTGGTACTGCGCGCCGACGCTGGGATCTCCGGCGCTGGTTTGCTGGAAAACGTGATTTTCAAGAAGAATTCTTCCGATATCACCATGGATCACGTCTACACCGTCACCAAGTACCACGAGAGTCCCGTAGACTCGATAGAGCTCACGGTCCGGGTTCCGATAGCAAAAAAATCTGACTATCTCCACCGGTATCCACTCGTGAAAGTGTTCTCAGCCGAGACGAAGACAAGTGACTCGAGCGTCAAAATCGACTGCATTTATCAGAATGAGAAACGCGTTCGAAGAAATACGGTCTCGGTGCCGAAGAGCGCCTCGTTGACACTGCCAACTTCCACCGTGCGACAATTAAAAATCAACTGCGAATCGTTCAGCTGTCGATTGTACAAATGTTCATTGGGTCCGCTGATGGCTGATCAGATCCGAACAACGTTCCACTTGCAGCTGCAATTGAACATTTCTGAGCTGATCGACCAAGCTCGCGTTATTCCGGAGGTTATCGTTTTCCGCTCAGATGCCGCAATAGTCCTGAAGAACCGGCAGCCGTTCACGAGCGAGTTGAATCCAAAACCGAAAAGTGCCGCTATCGAAACTATTCTAGTGAGGGAGGGCAAACCTCTCGGACGAGGTATCGATTGGTGGTGGATTCTGCTCGCCGTCATTGTCGGACTTATAATGGTTTCGATAATTTTCTACGGGCTCTACAAATGCGGCTTCTTCAAGCGGAACTCCCGCGAGGATCTGAACGAACTGCAGAAAGAGCCTCAGTCAGCCAGTCCAATACTAGCCGCTCATCATTCGCCCATAAACAACATGGTCGATGTTGACGATAATGATAATACCTCCACATTCCATGACTCCAAGGTTTAGGTCTAGAACTCAAACTCTGGTGTCTGCCCCGTTCCACAAGCTTTCCTAAGGAACAAACTTCCACTAATCTGGATAATTCATCCAGTCACGCTTCGTAGACGCGTCAAGCCGATGTTTCACTCATGCAGCATAAGTAGAACTAGAGAGAACGCGATGCTTTCAGGGTTTTTTGCCCGCGGAAGTTTTCGGCTTTGAGGCGCCGGTCGACGCAATGTCCTCGCGGCCGAGCATGTATAGCCCAACTTGTAAATATTTCAGTCAGGGTCGCGCTTCACGGCTCCAGCAGCTACTGGGGCAACATCAACTGCGGGGGGGAACGACCACGGGGAACGTATATTAGTGACCGACTGATCGGATATTGAAAAATCAGTGAATTGAAGAATGAACCGGTCGAGATTGCACAAGATGAGTGACCGATATTGTAATTAGTAAGTGTAAAATAATATCAATTCTCAGAGTTGAGAGGGAGGAGAGGAGCGGGTTGTGCAAAGTGAGAAGAAGAATAAGTTAAAGCGAATAAATAATAAGTTATTTACGAAAACTTGGTCTCCACTTCCGCGCATTTTTTTTTCTCAATCGAGCGTCCCCGTGAGCGTGCTCTTCATAAGCTAATCATGTTTCCTCGTCCGGTGTTCAATCAGTGGACAGGTCCGACGATCTTTGGGACTACGATTACGAGGGAGTCAAGGTGTTATCAAGATTTTTTTATTTATCGCTCGAAATTTTCTCTCTACTCCATCCTCCACCGGCTCCATCGTTTATTCTCTCCGTATCATTAATCCCTTTCATCTTATCGTTCGCATCTCGTAGTTCGAGTGACAAATCGACATCTGCGGGCTCCATGCCCAGCACGAGCTCGGTACACGGTACTGCTTTCGGATCAGAAGTCACGTTTCCATGAGGTTCGATTACAATTGTATTCGTTCTCCTGAATCATCTTCCATCGTTATCTCAGCTTCCATTCGGTCATTATTCGTCGTGTTCGCTCTTGCTTCCACGTCAAGACGCTGTCCATTTTTCTTGGTATGCATCGCCCTGTTGTCAAGGTCTATCTAGTATATATTATTCAATATAGTCTATTACTTTTACACAAATAGACCCCGCTACTATACCGCGCGGGTAACAAAGAGGTGTGGTGCGCTTCCGGCCAAACGAGCAACTGAGGAGAGCCGCTCTAGACTCACAGTTCCAGTGCTCCTCATTTATAATTTGCGGAACAGCGTTTCGACGCCTCAGCACCGGATTGAGCTGTTGCGCATGAGGAGAGCGAGGGGCGGATGAGGTACTGCCGGGCGGGGGGAAGGTGGTGGTGGGGATGGGAAACGGGACGTGAGTGGATATAATGTTGTTGACGTATATTGCACGGGAAAGCTTCGTCTGGCCGAAAGAAACACTCCGATATCTAGCACGGTCGTATTCTTTGTCATATCTGCTTAGATATATATATATATATATATATCTATATAGCGGGCCTGTTTATCTCTTTTCCTATACACAGCACGGAGATATGTTCGTGGATAGACGAGGGCAGGTGGCAGTCGTCAGTCAGACAGTCAATACAGCTGCTGATATGATCAAGATTTGAGTCGACTCTCCTTTCGTTTCCTACTATAATTGAACCTGACCAACCAACCGTCCGACCGAGAGACCGACCGACGGACCGATTGAACGACCGATCGAATAAGAACATCGCGCAATCAATTCATCTATCAAACAATCGATGCTGAATCAATCAGTGAACATTCGAAGATGAGATCAAACGGGTCGTCCTCGATCGGCTTAACGGTTGTCTTCGACTGCTCTCCGAATTTCGACGATGAGACGATCGATTCTTCAACGATCGACCATTGGAACCAACGTCGGCCTCGTCGCAATCTTCGTTTCCTTCAACTTCGTCTATCCGTCCATAGACAGTATGTCGTAATGCCCTTCAAGTTCAGTCGACGATTCAATATCGGTGCCGCTCGTTCGATGGCGGGGATTTCTCGAATTTTTGTTGGCCAAGTGCTCGTCTCCATGGTTAGCATAGAAGACGAAGAATCAGTACAGAGATCTGCCTCCGGCTCTCGCTACCATTTGTTTTTACACAGGATATATATTGTATAATAATAATATAATAATAATGATAATAATGATCAAATAAGTGTAAAGTTGAGAAAATATTCCAAAAACAAACCGCTGACGCCTACTTCTCTGAACTTAAACGAGTTCTTTCACAGACGCTCCTCCGTCTCGTCGTCGACGTCAAGGGTATAGACTCACTAAACAGTTTTGGTGTTCCTTCAACTCCATCCCGAGGGGGAGGAGTGATCGTCAGTACTAGAGAACAATCTTCGTGAAGGTCACCGTTGAACGTGTTTGAACATTCTACACATCGAGAGAGAAACCCTCACCCTGTTCCGGAGAGGATCGCACGAAACCGAGGCATCAATCTCGGGTCGTCCCGTCAATGAAACCACAGACTGAATTTTCAATTCCTAATTCCATCCATCAAACGACTAACAATGTTATTCTCCGATGTCCCCCCATTCCTCAGAGTCAGATCACCACGAGAATTTCCAGCGTCGAGGAAACCTGAGCTCCATTGGGAACACGAATCAGCCAGCACCGAACCCGATGCGAGAGTGCGGTGGAATTTTCTTCCCCCCTCAATTGATTACTAGAGTGACTTTATAATGGCGTAGTTGTAATTGATTGATCAATACATGGATGATGTAGTTGTGTGAAGTCGACGACGTCTTAGCAATAATTGGGAAAATATAAAATTCAAAAACAAACTAAATTGGTCTGTGTACGATTCCTCTCAAACCCGCTCTCCTTGTGTGGCTCGATTTCTTCGATTTTTTGGGAAGTTCCCCCTCAAGATAAGAGTGAAGCCTTTCCTGATGATTATGATGATGATTGTGAATTTGATGATGATGATGGAGCCGAAGTTGCTCTCGTGTAATGAGTAGGTCTTCGGGAACCACCTTCACGCTGAGGTTGCGTAGATGAGATTTGATGTATGTAGATGACCGAGAACCATGTCCGGAGATGAGAGATATGCGGCACAGAATGTCGACTATCACTGGGGGGGGGGGGGGCGAATCGGAGCCGTGATTAACTGATCGACCGAAACCCTTTCGTTCAATCAAGCTCCGTCGCGGAGTCTCCTCCTCTTATCCCCATCGGGTCGACAATTTATCGGATCTGATTTTCGACGAAATAAATGTTGAAGTACTTTTCACGAAATGTTCGCCGGCTCCGATGATAGCGACAGATCCTCGGCTTCCGCTGAGGCCGTAGGGCTTTCATGGAATTCTCTCTTCAGTTGTAGGGGAGGAGCATCATCGTCTTCTCTCATCTCGTTGTCAGACGATGGTTCTGTCATCATCGGTAAGGGGGACCGTGGGGACCTGGGTGAGCGGGGATCGCTTCCCGAGGCAGGGGGACTATCTGGGCCCCCGACGGAACATTCCATGGGTTCCTGAGGAACGAGCACGAGAATCGACATTAGGAACCTTCGTGATACTGACTTCGATGGAAACGAGGGAGGGACAGGGGCTCGAGAGGCTACGTGATGATTCTTCGTTTGGTTAAGCGAAGGCTCGCGGAAACAATACTTGCCTGCTTGATGTTTTGCTTTTCCGAATGGTTATTCGAGGTACCATTTGCCTGCTGGACGAGGCTCACAGGGCTAGGACCGTTTTTAACCAAGGCAGGGTCATGGCGGCCGAGCTCCATCACGGACATCATTATGCGCTCGGCGTCGCTCATTGACAAAGCCGTTGAGGTAGGCGTCATTAGCAGGGGTGAGCTCGCCATGGAAGGTGGCGCACCGGCCTGCATAGCCGCCGATAGGAACGATAGGTTACTCTCGGCCAAAGCGGCCTGAAACGATTTTATGTTAACGACCATTTCTCATGTGGCATCGACCGATGCTTCATCGTCGCCGTGCCGCCAATCAATCGTTGCCCATCGGGCAGTAGGACGAGCGCGGCACGTTCTCCGAATCACATGGTCGGGCTCGGGGGGCTGCGGTTTGCGCGAGGAATATTCATGGCTGCGGAGGCAAGGGGGCAAAAACGCGAAGCTTACATGAAGGGAGCTGAGGTGGTCGCCGTAAAGGCTATTCGTCAGTGTAGGACTTCGAACTTGTCTCGAGGAGAGGCCGCCCCTGAGAGGTGTACTTCCAGGGGACATCTGATGCTCATCGCCACCTCTGTCGTGGAAAAGAAAATCACTTAGTGGGATCGATCGGGAGGAAAAATGCCACTACGCACAAAACCGACTCCCTCGACGTTCGTGAGGGAGTTTAAGCTACAAGTTCACGATCTCTTTCCGTATACATGAAAATTCTACACAAACCTGGCGAGGACGAACCCTCAGAACTAGTGGCTGTGAATTACTATGTAGCAGGCATGAATTCCAAAGCGTCAACACAATGCAGCTATCTACGACTCACTCAGCCGATATATCGAGCGCTCACCGAGTCTAGCAAGTATCGAGATGAATTCAAATCGAATCACATCTCGTCAAAGTTCAGGTTCCCTAAGCAGAACTGATGTTCAATGGGTTGCGGGGTTTCGATAAGTCGGCTCCGACTTTCTAATAATTGTTTTTCTTTCCCTCAACTAAAAAGCGAGTCGGGTGTAGGTAAGCGCGGGTAGAGCGTGGGGGAAACTACAGCAAGAGACGCTAGTGTTCGTTTCCAGAACGAGAGCAAATGCATCACGAATTCGATGCATGCACAGAATTTTCTCCGAGTTGGTGTGTTCCCAATCCGACGAGTTTCCAGAGTTCCGATGCTTGCCCGCCTAACACGGGGTTCTAGCGGGGCCTAAAGCACCGCGCGTACATCGGGGAATGAAATGACCCGTCCCCCGATCGACGGGAATCAAAAGATAACGTTCCACCGTTATCATTTCTTACTCAAGAGCTCCCTCGGACTGAACGATCGAATCCGATTGTTGGGGACCGAAGCGTTTCGGTCGACCACGATTCAGGTGACGCCGCTTGACAAATTCATTATCGTCTACCATCCAGAAGGAACCGAAATCGTCCTCGAAGCGGACGAAGCATTTGTGCAGCGAAAGATTCGTACGAATGGCGTTCTGTGCGTAATGAGTGAACGGAGTTAGTTCCGCCGTTGGCGTTAGGGTGTACGACCGCGTGACGGGGATAATTAAACCGGTGAACTCGAACTGGTCGAGAAAATTCCCATATCGATATTGGGTTTCGATGATTTTTGGAAAAAATGTTGCTCTCATCGCTGCCTTGCGGGAGTGCCTGCAATTCATGCCTCTATCTACGAGGTGTTTGTGCTTCGTGTGAGTCGGGAGATGAGCCTTTACTGTGAGTGATCTCTCTAGAGGATTTTCCACCGCAATTCGTATCATACGGATGAGTCGACGAATGGTATGAGGCATTCTTTTTTCGACAGGTGTCAGAGGTGTAGGTGAATGTGAGCCACTAATTCAAGAGTTCGACCTCGCCCCGAAAACCGCTCGGAGGCGAAGTCTCACCCGGCAATCCTGTCCTGAAGTCGTTGGGGTCTTCGTTTATAGAATTCGATTTCATCGACTGTCCAAACCGCCCCTTTAACATTTTCTACTCGCATAAAGCATTTGTGAAGGCTTAAGTTGTGTCTCACCGCATTCTGTGGAGTAGGAATTGCATGTTTAACATGTCCGCCTACCGGCTTAATTGGGGAGGAGATCAACGGACAACTCAACGTTGGGGAGGGTCATATGTCGGTAGAATATATGTCGCTTGTATATAAACGTCAGAACAAAAAAAGTAAAGAAGAAAACGTGCCTTCCAGGTTGCTCCACGTACCTTCCAAGTCGCAGCATTCCGACGGAAGTAGCAGAACGTATTCTGGAACCAGTTATAAATCTCGTTGAGAGTGAGCTGCTTATCGGGCGATTCCATGATCGCCTGCCTGATCAGAGAGGCGTACGTGAACGGAGGTCGTACGTCAGATGATTTGTAGAATTCGCGATTGCGTTGGATTTCTGGAAAGGGGAAACTCGTGCTGTCAGGGGCCGAAAATTCTGTTTTCGCATCCGACCCGAGGGTCGGCCTCTCTTCCCTCGATTTTCGGGGAGCTCGACGCTTCGAGGAAGGGGGACGGGGAGGGTAGAAGGAGTTGGGCTCACCTTCAGTGATATCCAAGTTAGCTCTCTCCGCGACCCTTCTTCGCATCGGGGAATCGGGGAAGTTCTGTGGGTCGTTGTAGGCCACCATCGACAGAGAGCCTTTGTCACTGAGACGGCGACTGTTCTTGACCGACGGTGGAGGCAAGGAATGAGGATTTGGGATTTGGGGGAAGCGGAGTAGGTTGGGATTCAAGGAAGGGGGTGGTGAAGGAGACACGGGGTTGGGGGTCTGCGGAGAAGATATGGCTGGCTTGGACTCATTTCCGCACCGCAGCAAATCCTGGGTCGATTGTAGGGCTTTCGCTGCCGCTGCTGCCGCAGCTGCCGAGGCGAGGCAGTTGTTGGCGCTGTTGACGTTCGCGCTACTGCCGCCTGCCATCACCGAGGAACCGTTATTCTTGTTGATTGACGTCGCGGCGTGCGATGATGATGATTGCGATGACGTCAACGCCAACAACGACGGCGACGACAACAACGAGGCTGCCGTTGCCGCCGCCGCCGCTGACGAATTTGATTGCGCCCCACCCAAATGCAGGTGAGCCATCATTGCCTCGAGTCGGTTCTTCTCTTTCTCGAGCTGCAGCTCGAGCTGGCTGACGACCTGCATTTGAACGCGAGCTTGCGCCGTTGAACGGTCGTCGAGTTGATGTTCGAGGTTTAGGTGCTTACTGAAGGCTCCGAGATCTGCGCATTCCGCTTCGCATCCTGGCCACTTGCAAACACCGTGCCCATATAGGGAATGGTGACTTAGGACCGCGGGCGTACCCGACCGCGAGTCTTTATTGTTTTGGTTGCTATTTGGGTTGTTGCTGAGGTTGTTGCTTGGGTGCATGTTGTTGATACTGTTGCTGAGGCCGTTGTTGTTGTTGTTGCTGTGGCTGTTGTTGAGGCTCATGCTCAGGCTACTCAGACTGCTCACGGTACTCACGGGGTTACTGGCACTGGAAGACTTCTCCTCCTTCCCTGACTGCGTCTGTGTTTGTGAATGGTACGGGGACGACGTGGACGTTGAGGCCGAACCCGCGGTGTTGGTCGAACCACCAACACCGTTGTTGTTGCCGCCATTACCTCCTACGCCGTCTAGCGTAACCGACTGATTGTTGTTGCTGTTGTTGTTGCTGATATTGTTGTTGCTATTTGGTAACACAGCACCGCTGTTGAGGGAGTGCTGCTGCTGAGATTGAGCCTGCGGTGTTGCCGCTCCTCCACTGGAGCTGTTCTGAAGTTGAACAGCTGAACTAACGCCATTCGCATTCGCTGCTGCTAGCTGACTACCGCGATGCGTTTCGCGAGACGTTCGATGATCCGATTGCTGAACATTGGTAGAATGGCCGGATCCATTGACTGCTGCTGTCGTGTTCACGTTTGACGGACTTCTCCGATTTGTGTCCCGTTCCCGTTCGCTTCCTAACATGTCTCTCTGTTCTCGATCCTGCTGCTGCTGCTGCTCCGACTGGTGGTTGAAGTTCATCAGACCAGGCACGTTGAACAAGTATCCTCTGTGCGACATTTGCAGCTGCTGAATGAGCTGCTGCTGTTGCTCGGCCAAGTGTTGTTGCTGAACCTGGAGTATTCGTTCGCGTTCGCTCCCATCTCTACCATGGCTCTTGTTGCACTGCTGCTGCAACTGTTGCAACTGTTGAAACACCTGTGTTTGTTGCATGACATTCAGCTGCAACTGCTCCTGGAACTGTTGCTGAGTGTGCTGGAAAGAGCGGAGGAAAATTTTCTCAAAACCAGCTCGCATTGAAACTGAAGACTCCGACTGCGTGAATTCATCGCGGAGTAAGGGATCCGATCAGACGCCACGGGGATCGGGGTACCTATACCGAAAGGTCGGATCTCACACTCACCTGTTGCTGTTGTTGCAGCAGCTGCAGTGATTGCTGTTGGAACAAGTGGTTTATCTGCTGGGGGTTCAGGTTCAGGTTTTCGACGAGCTGCCGCACTTGCTGCTGTTGGGCCAATGTGTTCATGAGTAAACTCTGAGGGGAAATTGGTCTCTTCATTGAGAGTCCGTTGATGCCGTCCAGTTGACCTCCGGCGCTCTGAATCAGAGATGAGAGAACTGCCGACTTTTCGGCTGTGTCGGCCGCACTCGTCGGAGACCAGGCTTTGATGGCCAGGGGACTCTGGAAGTGAGAGACACTTTATTAGACAGAGTTTGTCACTCGCTCCGAGAAGACTGACTCGGGGCGAAAATATTCCTAAGAGTTTGCACAACTCATTAGGTACGACGGACGTCTATCTTAATTCGAGACCTGTATATTCAGGACCTCATTTCTGTTCCTAATTGCCACGGTACACCAGCGGTAACCGCGACAGACATCAGCTGAGAAAGTCCCAGACTCGAGAGAGAGAGCGGGGAGACGACAACACGAAAAGACCCAGTGTACGAGAAAGAACTGTTCTGAACCAAAGGTGAAATATCGAGGAGGGAAAAGAAGAACTCGCTCGAGAATGTTCCACCCCTGTGCCTGCGACAGCAATCCACCAGTCAATCGGATATCAAATGATTTCGGTCCTCCAGAAACGGCAGAACTCGCCCGTTGCCTCCGTGCAAGAAAATTGATCTTTCGAGGCTAGGACGCTCCGTCCAGTGAGCGCGGATAGGCGAGAATGGTTGGCCGTGAGGCCCTTGGTACGGGACACTTTCTTCCCGTGGTTTGCTCCCGATTTCCCCGTGACTTTCCAGCGAAATCTCCCGGCAGTCTGGGAGAGAACGACAGTCTCATCGATCATTCCGAACGACCCGTCTTGCGACCGGTCGTCCGACCCGTATCGAGACTTCGTGTTTTTTTCTAAAATCAGAATATTGCTGCTGTTCGCAATTCTAGTATATAATCCCTATAGACGTTGCCGCTGATCATTCCTTCGTCGTTGTCGTCGACACGGCTTTAGTGTATCGCGATCGCCTACGGAGCCGTGGTCGCCACCGTTGCTTTTGTTGTTGTTTTGGCCTTCAATTACAGCAGAGCCCGCGGTAAACAAACCAAGAGCTTTCATATAAGCCTCAATTGCCTTCGCTCAGGCACGGAGTGCGAGTGGCGAGCCGAAGGAATGCCGACGGCATCGGCTTAGAAAAACATAAACAAAAACACAAACAAACGAATAAACAAGTGAGAACCCGAGACAGACTGTACAATCAGCCCTCGGCCTGAGAGCGAAAAACACAAACAGACGTTGGTCAGAGACGGGGGTAGTATTTAAAATCGAGCGACGGATATCGCCGCAGATCTATGGCTGTTTTTTTCATCACGAATCATACGTTTTTTTGGGGTTTTGGGACGGACTATTCGATCGATCACTGCGGGTCGACTCCGTGATTGTCGGAGTGCTATCCGCTCATATGTGATTGCTCCCTGATTCTCAGTTCAAAAAGCGAACCTCTCCTCCTGCTCGAACCGCAGAGCCCGAGTCGGTTCCGGAGCATGAAGTCTTGGAGCGATTCCCTCACTTAAATCCATATGGGGAGAATCAGGAACAGGGATCAAACGACGTGTAGTCGTCGGATCGATGAAAGCATCGTCAACTCTTGTACATCTGATCGGAATCCACGCCAGGAACGACGACACCTCGCTTGGCAGGCATGAAATCAGCATCATCGAAAACAACGGAGACAATAAGGGGTAAAACAAACAATTCGATAGTCGCAAACGAGACGAGGAGGGCCGGCCTGTTGGGCAGTTGCCTGTGTGTGTTCGTTCGTTCGTTCGTTCGTTCGTAGGGTACGTCATTCAGAAGAAATTCTGATGCAGCAATGCGTAATATTCCGATGTTTGCCGGTCGGCCGTCAGTGGCCTCGAACGACAATTACTCTGTTCTTGTTGTTTGTCCGCGTTGTTGTTGTTGCTGGTGCCACTGCCACCACCGCCGCCGCTTCCGCCGCTACCGCTGTGGCAGTGGCCCTTTGTAATTTTGTTTCTACTTTCGCTACGGATTTTCTGACGGATTGTGCTCAGACAAAAAATCGCTCCCAGCAGAAATCAATTGGATCAGCTCTTCGTGTTTCGTGGAGTCTCTTGTCCGTGCGAAAACTCGTTCTGTTTTTCACCAAGGGCTCGGTTAGATCTTCCGATGGATTGGATGCCATCCATCTGAGTATTCCAGAATTCCTCGTATACACCTAAATGGCAGAAGGCATTGCTCCCGGAGACGGGACGCGGAGAGCGCGAGTAGGCGGCAGCTCGGGTCAGAGGGTTCATGGGGACCTCGTTCCAGTTTTGTCCCAAACAGAGCATCGAGAGAATAGAGGCAATCTCTCCAGGTTTTTCAGATATCACAGGGGCACGGACGAGGCTCGGAATGAAATTCTGCGGAAATCGGACCGGACATGAGCTTCCCTCGCGATAAGACTCCGGAACGACGATGGACATTAAACTGTCATCATACGTGTCTGATATTCATACCACGAGGTCTTAACACGAATTTTCGTGGTGAGCCGAGCAACAAGTATACCGTATAAAGGAGCTCGACGCGAACGGAGCACGAATCGGTTCATTAGGGGAGGTGGAGCGAAGAGCCTCGACGTAACGAGAGGTTACACTCATCAAATTCTCAATGCAGCCCAATAAAAGCTCACTTCGACCCGCTAAAGGAAAAGCAATGACCATGACTCTGTCGAAATTGGCGGGGCGAATGATGATTCGGTTTGAGTCTCTCTGATCGATCGTCATGTTTCGCATGCACCCTCGAATGCATGCAGGCAGGCGGGCGGCTGTATGATATCGGCGTACATTAAGCCCCCTCCCTACATGATGCCGCTTTTTTCCCCTGAGTGGCCTCCCTCTGTTTGTCTCTCGTGCGCCACCGCCGAGCGTTCGTTCGAATAGCCACCCGAGCGACACTTTGCGCAGAATTTTTTCCCGACACCACCCTCATGGCTGGCAAGATAAAAAATACCCGAATTCGATCCCTCTTCCGACCGTATCGCTCGGGTCGCGCCAAAAGGGGACATTAATGACGTCCTGGCGTTCGAATAAGCAACGGCATACACAGCCCGCCCCTCACCACCCAAATTCTCACCCCGTGGAATGGAGCTGATTGCGAAGCTCATCAGGATCTGGAGCGCAACCTTGTGACATATCTAGTATAGACTTTACTTCAACGAATCGAGGTACGTACACAGATTTCTCTTGGAGAACAGTACCCAATTTCTAAGGAGCTCCCTCGGACAGGCGAGGCGAGCGAAAACAAGCGTAACTCACCATCTGGGATCGCGAATCCCAGAGAAAGAAGTCGCAGCGCGGATTCGTTTCGTGAAACATTCAGAAGCGGTATCCGGAACTGGACTCGGAATCACTGAGCACGTATACCGTCGTGGACTTTCCTGACCAAAGGCTTCCGACGCGAATACGGACAAGCAACAGCGTCCTGCAGCATCGACTAACAGGGGCGTTGAACTAGTCTAGGTTAGGTCAATCAACCGCTCAAGTGGCAGCCGAAAACGGGAAGAAGGAGCGAAAAATAACACGAAAACCATCGAGCAACTTGAACTCCGGTTTCGGGTTGTATACAATTTCTCTCCGGCTTTAACCATCGCGCTCACTCGGAAGAAACTAGAGTAGCAATGCACCCGCGACGCAGCCGGCGCCGCCGCGACCGTCTCAACTGCCAGCGATGTCAGAGCAACGCGATCCTCCGCTTCGATTTGTTTATAAATCAGTAATTTCCGCTCTCGATTCATTCGGTCACGAGCCATCTCTAGCTATTCATGAATATACACGAATAATTATTTATCAATGATGATGATCAGCGCTCCGAAGCCCTGGGCGATAGGAGGCTTCATCGGGCTCCTCGGTTCCCCTAGCCCCCGTAGCGGTCCGGCTGTGCTCGCTACTTATCCGATTCAGCGTCTAAACGTCGAAGCATCCGAAGCAAGAGCTTCCGAGAGCGGACGCTACGAAAGAACTCCACGGCAGAGACCCGATGTCGGCGCGCAGGAGCCGCTTACGATATGGGAGGTGTTTTTGTATTCGCCGAGCGTAATTAACACCGACCACAGCTGACCGCAGCCGACCACGGCAATCAACATCCGGGCCGTAGACTCGCTCAGCACCGGCGGCGCGGAGAGCACGGGTTGAGACCAACATGAGCCAAGGTGACCACATGCTTAGCCGACAGGAGGGAGGACCTCACGTCAGAGCCCAGTCGATGCGGAGTTACTTACAAACGAGCACATGTCGTGCGATGTTCCAGCACAAAAAACGAGGCCACATCTTGCTCATCTCTTCATCGACTCCCCGTGACGTCATGGCCGCAAGTGAGCGCGGGCGTCATTACTCCTCCGTAGAGTTCACCGACGGCTGATGTTAGCTCTTCATCATGATGATGATGATTAGAGCGGTAGCCTTTGCTTCTTGTGGATACGGGCGACGCGTCGCCCTAATTCCCCACCCACGGATCTGCGTTGTGCAGTCCGGGACATGTCGCTTGGAAAAAATAAGTCCCCCAGAGGCTCGGTATCCCCCGGTCGTGCTTGTACTCGCGAATTTTCTTTCGGTTTTAGGTAACAATGCGATAAATCGAGAAGCGACGATACACCCCGAACTCGTGAGCCACCGCCGTACGTAGTGAAAACGATGAATAATGTCGCCATTCGAATCATCACCATACCAGAGCCATCGAAGGCTCCGCATAAAATGGATACGCATAACCAGATGGCTGCATGATCGGTTGGTATAATAACGTCGCGTCGCACGCCCAGCAGCACGTTGCCGCCGATCTCACTCTTCCATCCCGAAGACTCTGCCTACCCGCGCGCCGCTGAGCACTCGGTCTGAGTGGCTTGTCGGATCAAATTGGAGTCTCGCAAATGGAAGTTGAGCTCGTGAACTTATCGGAATGGTTCGCTTTCTAATCGTTCACGTGATGTGAATTGGTTTGGCGGCGAGGCCGAGCGGGACGAGCTCTAGATCGGCTCAGCCAGCCACTAGGTCGACACGGATGAACATATTAAAACACAGCGAACATGAAAAAAGGGATGTCGATGAGCAAAAATAGCCGTGGGCATGGATTATTGAGAATGGCGACGACGATTCGAGAGCTTCGCCAAAACGCCTCGAATACTGTCGAGATTATTTAGCCGGGAAGACGAGAAGTTGACTGCCACGATGTGCGTGGATTGCTGTTAGGGCTGTTTTTGCAATTGTTAGCTGCATGTCGCGTTCGGAAAACACAGCGAGCCTGGCTGGCTGGTAAGTAAGCAAGCGAACGCCAAAACATGCCGCGCTGACTTTGGTCAACAAGGAGAGTTTGTTTGCTCCGTTGCGAGTTTGTCTGTCGGTGTGTCCTTTCTTCGGTCTTTGCGTTTGTCTGCCGTTTTGGTGCTAGCTGTCTACTCGTCGCTAGGTTTGTTCGTATGACGGCTGACTAGCCGCGCTTCATTGGAACGACGACCAATATTTGTCGGCTGCCGCCTTTTTCGGAGCCCCGTTTCGGTTATTCTTCATAGTCGTCGTCGTCGTCGTCAAGTTCTTACCGCCGCTGTTGTCGTTAACAACGAGAAACCACATCACCCGTCGACTGACGCTATCGACGACAACAACAACTGGTAAACAGCAATACAAGTCTACGGCGGTTTTGCTGCTGGTTGTTGTTGTCGTTGTTGTTGATGTCATTGTGGTTGCTGTAGTGATGCCAACTTCCACGAGAGTTCTGTCAATTCAGCTCCGATAGCGAAGGCTAGCGGATGGTTTGCCTGTCGGAAACAACAACAGCGACAACAACAACAATAACGGCGCGATGGCGGCAAAGGCAGCAACAACGACAGCACGAAATGAGGTTGTCGAAGTTCACCAAAAGAGCTGACAAATCGAGGGACTCGAGTATCTACGGACGAGCCGTCGGGCGCACGGAAGAACCACGGCGTACGCGTTCCCGCATTCTGTTTAGACAACAAACAACAACAACGACACACGGAAAAATAGAGAACTCGTCTGTAGACTGCAGCAACGGCAACGCTCGACGCGTTGGTATCGCGAGCGACGGCGCGAAGCCTCTCAGAGTCCTGCCAAAGGACCATCCTGCGTCGTCACCAATCAATGGTTCAGTCTCCTGACAAATATTAATCCAATCGCGAATCGTTCTCTCGACTCTCAGATTGCACCTCCATGTTATCAGGAGCACAGAGATCGACTCATGGGGACGCAGCGATTCCCAGGGTTCGTCCGCCGGCTACTGAATTTACGGACAGTCACTTGCTACAGGCAGAAGAGGCCGCCGAAGGTGACAATCTCCACAACATTCATGGGAAGCGATCGTAGCTCAATAGCGGCCGGCATGCCACCAAGGAGTGGAAATTGAAAGAATGAAAAAATGAATATCCCAGAGTTTGTCGAAACGACGTTCGAACAACAAAAAGTCGAAGCTGGTGTTTGTGTTTGTCTGTCGCGTGTTTTTTCGGCTATGTCTGGCTCTGCGGAGTAAGTGTATATATGTGTTTTCGTGTGGGTTTGTATGAGTCGTAAACATTCTAGGAAAAGCGGTCGACGTAAAAAAACGTTAACGCCCCGATGTTTTGGGTTAAGCCAACACGATCCTTACTGACTGCCTGCCTGTCTGCCTGCAGTTTGGATGGCTGCGTGGTCGCTGGGAGACGGACGTCAGTATAACGCGCGTCCTTTACATGATCGATAAACGACACTATTGATTGTTGTTATCGTCAGAATTTGATATCTGCCTCGTAACTTGACGTGTTGGGCTTCTGTCGGGGCGGATAGCGTCCCGGAAATGATTCCGTCTTTAGCCTGCTCACATTTATAATCCCTCAACGGAACCCACTTGTTCCCGATCAAAGTGAATCCTGAACTCGAGACGCTCACTCTTCTCCCGTGAGCTTTTTCCGACGGCTTTCCCGCCCGTTTCTCTTCGGGATCGATAATGTGTCTACGAGCTCTCATTCGAATCTACTGCACTCACTTGTCTTCCAGAGAGGTCAGTGGTGTGTGGAGAACTGTCACCTCCCATCAAGTTGGTTTGAGAGCAAGGTGGGGACGAAGGCGCCACACTTGAAGACGTAGAAGTGCTTAAGTTGATCGCGTGGCCGGGCTCCGTCTCCAATGTTCCCTCATGCTCCATCATGCGTTCATCTTCCTGCAATGGAAACAGAGAAATAATGATCCCGCGTCATTCTGAGCGCTCCTCTACGGTACGCATTGACTTTTCCCGGGAACAGTCTTCCGGAACAGTCCCCGAAGGTTTTCGGAAAGGTGTTCCAGGCAAGGTGTCCCAGAGATTCTTCTGCTCATCGCCAAAGCTTCCTCGGTCTCGCTGCACCGGATTCCTCCAGCTACACATCTACATACATCAACTCTTTCAGGATGGAAGCGGTATCCGGTAATCATTGATCTCTTAAATTATGGAGGGCTCGACGGTCGACGTCGAGCGAGCGTCTAGTGTTCGTGATCTGTGAAGCTTGCATGGTAGCTTACGGAGAGAAGCCCGATGAACGGTGAGCGATGGTGCTAGCGAGTGCTAGACCGAGCGGCAAACCAGACTGCTGGCCAGCCAGTTAGCTGTTCGGGGACCGTGTTCGCTCAAGAATCGTGCTCATCAACAAGTCGCGTCGAATCAAAAATAAATAAACACCATCTTTCTCCGATGGCATCTCTAGCCTCCTTCCCAAGCAAGCAGCCGCCAGGCCTGCTGGACAAGACGGTAGGATTCTCAATGATCCGAATCGGCCTTCTCTCTTCCTCGGGATGTCGGATCTCGAGGCTCGTATCACTTCCAAACGGCTAGTGTTGAGAAATTCTTTCTGTCAGCCCTCGATGTCGGTCCAATAAGTGAATGTCGGACTTCCAAACAGAGGCCGAAGCTCGGATGCTGTCTTCGATAGCTCCGCTTTCCCATAGTGTTTCTAGAGGCGGAAAAACGACCCCGTCACTTATCACCTAATTCCGATCGGATAGAATCTCGAGGTCGCTCTACCGGACGGCTCAGGATATATTCCCGTCAGTTTCATGGAAGCTCATGGAATATTCAATAACGAGTCAGATGTTTTAGAATTCCGAATTCTCCGAGAGGAAGGAACTCGAGTTCTCGGTGTGGGTCCCGACTCCGGCACCGATCGACCTGAGGATTTTCGATCCCTTTGAAGCAGGTGGGTGTGGAGGGAAAAATCACTTGAAATCGATGCGAGAGTCCACCTCGCTAACTGAGCGGGGCCCAAGTGATCCGCAAACCTCGTGATCGAGCCGTGACCGATGGTCAGTCCGATCAGAGGGCCTAGTCGATATGGGAGGCTTCTCTGAACGACGGCAGCAGCGAGAACGAGAACAGCGTCGCGCAGAATAGACAAGGGCCCCGTGGGTAAACACACAATATAAACATCACAAACACAAACACACACGACCCAACAACACCCAGCCCAGCACAACAGACCTCGACTCAGCTGCCGCCGCCGCTGCTGCTGCATTGAAGACCCTTCAATGGAACGGCGAGGGCGGCAACAACGACAGCAAGAACAACAACATCGAAAGCATCAGCAATAACAACAACAGTCGCAGCGGCGACAGAGACGCCGGCAACAACACCGACAACGAAATATCTACCACTAGTGGGATCGCATTCACTACTGCCATGAACCCTACAGTCAAAGGGACAGTGGGGGCGGGGGCAGGGAGTATTTCTGCCGAGTATCGCGGATCGACGGAAGTCAAGCGGCCGGCAGATGAAGGGGATGAATAGTGGAAAAAAAAGATGGCAATCAGCATTATTTCACCCTTCGGGTCCGTCTAAAAACAACCACCTGTCAAGGATATTCTCTGCAGGAGGAACCGAATTCACCCCTCCGCAGATTTCGGATCGGCGTCGCTTCACCGACCGCGCGCAGAAGAAATCATGCTCCTAATTTATTTGCCAGGTGCCACCTTAAAGTTGACCTTGACATTTCCTCTCTTCTCGCTGACACTTGATCATTCAGAGCTTGGAGGAAGGAAGGACCTACGAGTCTCCATTCATCAACCTTTCGGCGCAATGTCGTCCCTTTCCCCCAGAAGACAATCAGCTGATCTCAGCTCCTAGGCGTAGGAATCTGATTCCTGCTCGAGCCTTCCGGTGGACTGCCACAATAATCATTATCGGTCAAGACTGGGATGTGGAATGAGAAATTTTGCGCGAGACTGTACGGGAGCCCCACGACTGGCCGAGGGGAGAAACTCTTAGAAGCATAAGTTTTTTTCTTTACTTCGTCTTTTACACGACACGAGGAAGCTTTGCAGGGAGGCTGCCTTGCTGGATGACTGGCCTGCTTGCTTGTCGGCCTGCCTGCTTGCCGACTTGTTTGGTTGCTTGCTTGGTTGCTAGCGAACGAGCGAGCGAGCTAGCTAGAGGCCACGCCGGGAGTAGGCCGTTGTTTGTGGAGGGAGAAGGATAAACACAAGCAGCTAGCCTGCGTTGCAGCCAGCCAGCCATCCAGCCTGGCTGCCCGAATGCCATCCAAGCAGCTAGCCGGGCAGACAGGCAGCCAGCCAGCAGAGTAAACAACACGAAGCAGCCCGTCGGTCCGTTCATTCGTCTGTCTGTCCACCGCTTGGTTCGTTCGGTGCTCGCCCGGTTCAGTTCGTTCATCCTATATGTTGTTCTGGTAAAGAAAAAGACGACAGACGAGACCATTGCGAAACTCGGAACAACAACGGGGCAACGTCGGTCGGCGCACTTCAAACTCGGCTCGTCAGAGCCGCCAACCAGTGTCGACCGCCTGCCCAGCCACCGAGTGACGGGTGATTGGAAGATCGCATGGGAGTGCGCCACGCGTGTGCTCTAACGGAAGCTCAGGATTGATGTTTTGTTCGATGGAATCGTCTGAGCATCATCATCAGAAATTCACCAGTCGCTCCTGAGCTCGGTCGAGACGTTACGTGATTTGCCGTAGCTCCGGTCGTCGTGGCAGTGTTTTTTGATGTTTCGTGTTTTCGCCGTTTTGCCAGCGGTAGCCTCTGATCCGACGGAGCAGCCGGCGGCGACGCAAGCAGTGACATCAGCATTCAATCGATAAATCTGTTGTCGTTGGTCAGAGGACTCCATTGACTTGTAGCTCGTAATAATGATGCGGGACATTTCAAATTCCGACTCATTTTTAAGTCCTCTTCAATTTAACGAGAGCTTGGGAGCTGGCGAAACAGGGCATTTCTGCGCTGATGGGCTCAGCTGTTTTCGTTCAGTATGATTCGCAATGATTATTATGATGCCCGGAGCCTCAATAGTGTCCTCTCGAGATTAGAGGAAATGCCGTTGATCTATTTCTGCTGCTAGATTGTCGATTCGACGATCGGGGCCGCGAGATAGCCTTAGAAACTTTTAATTCTTCGAAAATTCGACCCCGGTCCGCTCCGTTCTGGCATCCTGATTCTCCCTTTGGAACTCTCTGTTTTTAGCCGCGTCGGCGCTAGGTGATCCCTTCGAGCCGCCGGGGCTCGTCGGCTTCACTGACGGAAATCCAGCCTAATTAGTTTGGTGGAGGTTCGATGGCAGCAGGGTTTGGAAGTTTCAAGGTTCAGCGAGTTCCGCTGGAGAATTCTTCGTTTTTTTCCGGCGTGATAGCCAGACATTTTGACGGCTCTGATAAGACCGCTCCTAAAGACCATAAGTCATAAGGTGCGGCTCCCGGTACTCCGGTTATCGTTGTTCATTCCGATCGTGTTATTGTTTTTATTGACAGACTGAGCCCTGTCATCGAGAATAACGACTTGTAAAGTGACCCGAGTCACTTGAAGCCGGTGACAACGGGCCGTAGATGCCGTAACGTTGGGTGCCACGACGTCCGTCTACAGCGACCTTGGGGGTTACCAGCGGCTTGGAAGTGCTTTATACGGACCAAGCATATTCGTAGACGCTCATTATTATCGGTCTTTTTATCAAGATTCCCAGTAAGCTTCAGTTTGGACACAAAAAAAGGCTCCGGCGCTAGCTCACTCGAGACTCCATATCATGGAACACCTATATAGGGTGCGGCAGAATGCTCAATATTTTTGAGTATAGGCCCCTCGATTGCAACACTCTGCAGCATTGCCGCTCCCTGCCACGCTCGAGGTGGGAGTGTGGCCGCGAGATCCATTCTGGGCGCTTTTGGCCGCATCGGGTCAATTTCTCGAGACTGAGTAGAGGTCGTCCATTGCGTAACTCGAGATACAGGGAGCGATACGATCGTGGAGAGGGCCAGTGCTTACGTTGCTGCCGCTGCCGCCGCTACGGCTGCTTAAAACAGCTGAAATGTCTCTTTCAAAAAAAAAAGCTCCGTCCACTCGTACTTAGGCGTTTATCACTATGTAGGTTGCACTCCGCTTTCTCCACAAAAAAGTGAACGGGTACGAGCACATGTCAAGTCACCGATGAGAGTCGTCGCGGTCGTTGCATAGAGGAACGATCGAGCGGGCTCTCCGAGTAAGCGTGGGGGGGGGGGGCGGGGAAGCGAGGGGCAAATGTCTTCGGCTTCAAAATACGGGTGAGAGACTGCGACCCGGGGCGGGGAAGGAACGGGGGTGAAGAGGGGGTACTTACTGTGAGTAACGTCATTTTCGCTCCGACGACTCGATTTTTCTGACGACCGATGACTAGAATAATTGTCCTAAAATGTTTCGCACTCAGTTTTCCCGCGGTAAACTTATCGCGAGGACTGGATGTAATCACAGATTAATTTACACCGACACACTTCGAGACCGCTGCACGGTTCCACAGGTAGTTCCCAGGAGCTGCTACGGCTTTCTCCTGTCCAGCATTAATAACAAGAAACGAATCGGTTTCGTTGCTAATGAGCACCTCAATACCATAGTCACCGAACTCCGCACTAGCACGCAGATAGTCTACCCTGTGGCAGGTTTCCCCGCAGGTTCCTGCCGGGGACTTCACCGCACCGCGCGGACTCCATGAGTTTCGACGCACTTCTCTTGTTCGGTTTCTAGAAACTCCGCGCGCAAGCAACGTGGGCGAAAGCCTGCAGATTGTTCGGAGACTAACAGAACCTCTTCCGGGCCTTATACGCCCGCCGTCACCGAATGACGCTCAGAGAGTCCGCGTCAAGTTTGAATAGCTGTCGGCTATGCTCTGGCTCGCTTGTTGCTTCGCGCCGGTGTCTGTAGCATCTGCGAAAAAGTAGTTGTGTTGTTCCAGAGGCCGAATGTTTGTATGGAAAGGGACCGTCTGAGAGCGAGGGGATTGACAGACAAGAGAAGAGAGCGACTCGGCTCGTGGAGCGAACGATCGTCTATGCGACGAAAGCACGGACAGCAGCAGCAAGCGGCCCGCCAGCCTCCTCGCCAGGCAAGCAGCGGCGGTCTCTACCACCGCGCCAGCCGTGTTTACTGTAAACAACTGAGCAAATACGGGGAAGAGTTCGACCCGCTGCCGTTGCCTGCTGGAGCATTGCGCGGGGCCGGTAGGGGGGGAGAACGTACAGTACCGTCGCGTCGTTGCTGTCGCGAGAAATGTCAAGATGAAGAAGCACGAGGGAAGGGGTGATGGGGGAGAAGAGGGGCGAGGCCCGAATAAGTTCCTTTTCGCCGTCTCTTCATACGCTATCCCCTCGAAAGCACCGGTTCCCACCGTGCAGGATAGGGGTAGGGGAATCTTGGAGCCAATCACCCGGAGCCCGACTGCTGTCAACGGATTTTGAGTCTATATATTTATTCATGAATCTATTTTCCGATCTTACGCAGTCCGAGCGTCGAGGTCAATTCACGGAACAGGGAGACAGGGTAGCTCGTTCCGCGTAGTCGGTCTCCATGATTTGGCCATCTCGTCAAATTAGAAACGCTTTGTCCCACCGAATACAGGGAGGGATCAAATGAAACATTTATTGGATTATACCAACTCCTAAACCACCGAGATCCGCTCGGAATGCATCGAAACCCGAGGAAAGGGCTCTCTGAACACGGTTACGTGTCGATTCATCGCAAATGTGGATATCGCCGGAAGCGTGAGCTGTTAATTCCACTCCTTGTACGAAATTGATAATCCGATCGACTCGCAACCGTAACACTGATGGCCGCTATCGATGTCGCTCCTGGAATCGCAGACGTTCCTCCCCTTGCGAACGCCCTGCTCTTTACGATCGCATATGTTTACCACTTTGATGTCTGTTCGGACCGCTGCTTTGATGCATGCAGATCCATTTCGAGACGACTCAATCAATTCACGGGAGGTCAAGAGCACCGCATCGACGCAGCCGGCGAGACGGGCAACAAGAAGTCAGCGTGCCTCATGGTTAAGCTCGAAACGTGGCAAGAAACACCGAAAACCTTTCGAGCGTGGAGTTTCGATTCCCATCAGGATTCTCATCAGGGTCTCCGGGGAGGCCGGAGATAGCCTTTGCCAGGCTATTCACCACGTTATCCGTCACGATACCGACTACTGGCAGCGTTCGAGGCGAGCGTTCTTCGATGAAAATTGAAGAGCGCCTCGAGTCACCCGCGACACGAGACTCCGCTTTTTGACGCTTCCGATGTTGCTCAGTCCGAAGAACAGAAACTTTCAGGTTCCCGACCCGGAGCGCGCGATCGCCCCAAGCGCAAGCGGGAGCCACGGTGGCGGTGGAGAACATTCAGCGTGTCTCCCCGGCCTCGCGCCGAATCTCGCATCTGCTCGCTCTCAATGGACAATCCTCCGGTCACGAGACGTCCGAAAACCTCTGATAGCGGAGGAAGAGGAAATGCCATCCCGAGAGTCACTCATGCCAACGAATTCGTCGATATGGACAATCTAGTGTGGCACAGGTTGTGTGTTGAGCACCTGATCTGAATGAGGGGCAGGGTACTTCCGGGTAACAGCAAAATGAGCCAGAGTGTAAGGAATGGGCCGAAGCCTCCGTAGGACTTTCACGAATATGTATCGACGCAATGACCTTGGAGTAGACCACGAGGTGGTTGAGTCAGACGCTACTGCCCTCTCCTGCTTGACCACTTGAGCGGCCACTCTCAAGCTGACAGCCATTCACCGACATTCTCGAGATCCGAACCATAAAACAGAAGAAAAAACCATAAAACCGAGCTCCTCTGTGACGTATCGGACCTATCACCCATGCACCTATGTAGTCTCTACATTCTACAGGATCACATTGGTGCCGATTCGGCCTCCGAGTAGTCTATTTATGTTTTCCCTCGATCGACTACTAGATAAAAGATTCTAAATTCGTATACTCCGGATTTTTGCGATGTGAATATTTTTCTCATCTCAGCTGATCGTATGTGTCGCATCAGCATCAGTTGCAGCGGCCGTTGCAGCCACCGCAACTGCTTGGATATTTTTTTAGACAAGTAACATTAACACAGACTTGCTGACGCTCTCATAGAGACAGACTGGATAGCTCGCCCGTCCAGACTTAGTAAACATACTCGTTGCAGATAGAATTGAATACGAGCGAGAGCCACGGGAAGCGGAAGTCGGCCGCTCAGAAACGCATTCTTCGCTTGACGCTTATGAACCGGTCAAAGCACAAATCAATAGCTGATTGGCGATCTGCTCGCGAGTGATTACGCCGTACAAATACGAATAGAATGGTAATCTGCGTAATTTCGACCCGTAGGACAATAGTTTGCGGTTGTACAATTCAGAGAGCGCTCGTTCTCAGGCATCAACCCGCTTGACAATAATTATGGTGAGCGCTCTGAGACTGGGAGAGAGAGTCCCCCGTGAGCTCGGATCGACCCAACCCCTCGAACATCTCACGGGGCAGCGTCGCGAGCAAAATTTTCCCTGCACGTAATCATTCGTCCTCCGAAGATTGTTTCGTGATTCTTGTAGCGATGATCACATTCCATTCAAACTTCGAGACTTTCCCAAAACTGGGATCACTGAATGTGCATCACCCTAGGTGATGAGGGTGTAGAGCTCGGATCCTGTCCAGGACGAGAGAGTCTCGAGTTTTCTCATACACTTGCAAGGACAGGAAAGGATATCGATCCGCGTCGCTCATCGTGTTCAGTCGCGAGAACAGCCGTATGGATCGTTCCGCGCTGTACTTGCGTCTTGGAGGAAGTGGAATCATCGGCCTACAATAATAATTCGAAGCGCTCTTCCTCGATCTGAGAGGTTCAGTTCCTTAGCGACAACAAGACCGGATCCTCTCGCCACCGTAAAGCCGCGATCCGTTTTACTCGGGCTCACCGCTCATTTGAATGAGCGATATGCTTCATTCCAATAGGGAAATTCCGCTCCCACGATAGACTCTCCCATGGGCCCTTGGAAGGGAGCTCTGATGGCTCCGTTGACGAGAGCTTACTCAAACGTCCGCTTCCCCCGATAGGCTCAGTCGGTAGGCTCAGTTTTTTGACGGATAACTGTACACAGAGCACTACAACGAATGTGTGCCAGTCTCGGCTCCGTGTAATTCTTATGATGCATCGTGACAAGAAGAATGCACGCGGGCGCCTTTCTTGAACGTCCCGCGAAAACCCTTAGGTGACGAACGGAATAGGGCTCGGGAGGGGGAGCGCGCTCCCTCGTTAACGGCTTCATAGCAGAGTTTGTGGCCTGGCTCGCCAGGGGGCTCCACCATGTGCGCGACTGAGCGCGAACTCGACTCCCGCCACCTCTTGCATAAAACTGGAGTCTCGGAGGGACATCGGATTCGTAGAAATCATCGATATCGATAAGGAGGGATCGTAGATTTATTCCATCCACTGAAGTAGTTTCAGGAATGGGCCAGTCACAAATGTCGAGACTGGGGGACGCACGATAGAGTATAGAAAGATGTTTCCCGCAACGCGAACCGTAGATCTTGTGAGGACTCCTTTGTAAATAATTTTCCCCGATTCCCTCCTCGCGATTCTCCCTGATCGGAGGCGTTATCAATGGACTCTCAATCGAGGGAAAGTTCACTGCACAGAGAGGTGGGGGGGGGGGGGTGATAGATGCATGGAAGGAAAAATTGATCGAATACACAGTTTGGCCATCGCAGAAACATGAAGGTGAAGCAATCGCGGAAACATGAAGGTAAAGATCGAGTGCTCTCGGCGGAGTTTCCAAAGTCTCCGAAGACCGTCGAGACGTTACGGACTATATCGGCGTAACTTACGTTTCCAAGCAGAAGTTTGGTCTGGTCGGCGTCAGGCCACAGAAGAACCATGAGAGACGGTTTTCAGTGTGTTTTCCAGGAGAACTAGGAACACGAAACACAGTCGAGACGTCAAACGCACACAACAGCCTTGCACAAATATTCGTTTCTCCTTCGCGTGAGCAATGAAAAACCCTGATCTCGGGTTACATGTGAGACACAATTTCGCTGTGGCGTTATTTACAGAGTTCGCTTCAAAGTAAAACTATGAGTTCCTATGAATCTCTACGAAATGGTGAGGGGTGATGAATGCTGAACACCTAACTCGACGACAACCGAAACGCGAACTTATCACAACCGGAAACCAGGGGAAATACAGCGGTGACTCGGAGCAGAAGCACAAGAGATAATATTCACATGAATCAGGACGCCTCGACCATCGTTAGAGATTAGAAAGGAATCAAAGACACAAATGCGGCAGGAGCGAACGATTCGAAGGACTCCTTGGAGAGAAACTCAAGATCAACGCAGGAGACCAAGAAGAGTCGATACGGGTGAGCTCCTAACCAGTTTGAAACATCACGCTCCACCAGACGGTGTGCGAAAAGCTACGAAACACGCAAGTGCCGCCACATGAACTCGAATTCTGGCAGAGTCGTGATGAAAAAGGACAGGGTCGGGGATGAGCACCGAGTCACCAGGACGACGGGGATTTAAACGTGGATCCTTTGGGATATTCGCCGGTCGTTTGCGGATCCGAACGAACAGTGTTTGATCCAACGAGCAAATTGGATCAAATCACCTCGACGGATCACGGGAGAGACTAGCTCTGAGATCTGAGATGAAATTATGTTTGTAATCAAAACGGTTGTTCACAGATCGCGTATGGTATGTCGTGAGTCCGGGATCAGCCTCGCAATCGGCTAGCACAAGTCGCACGAACGGGTTCCTTCACATGTAGTCCTCATGAAGTCGTATTATCCTTAAGACGAGGGGCATTGTTCACTCGAGATTCGTGATAACTGTGAAGGTTTTCGTTGATGCTCGTTTCCTTCTCGCAGCCGAAGGGAGCTTATGTTACGCGTTAATATTGCCGCCGCTTCTTGTTGTTGCACACACGGTTCGTTTTCGAGGCGCTTGCCCAACGAGGGCAATGTCGGTCTCTACGTGTTGTTCGGTAGCGCAGCTCACGGAGCGGCCGGCAGCAAATGGTTTGAACCGCTGCGTGGCTCCACAGTGCTCTGACTGCTGAGGGAGTGTTCTTGGACGAAGCTAGTCGTTCGTCCTAGTCGCGCTCGCTCCTCGTCCTCGTCGTCGTCGAGCTGCGGCTGTCGATGCTGCTGCTGCTACGAGTCCTCTCTCAAGCAGCCGCAGCAGCGAACGGGGCCGAGTTTGGTTATTATTATTATTATTTTTTGCTGTTTCTCCCGCCGCCGCTGCTGCGAAAGGCAGGCGTGCTGCTGCAATTGGGAAGAGCGTGGCGGGCGCTCTACTCTCCCAATTTAAACACACCCTTTCCCAATGGGAATAATTCTCAGTTCAAGCCCCGCCTGCTATGGCGAGGGTAGCGGCAAAGCCTGCCAACCAGCTAGCCATCAAGCAGCAACTCTGAAGGAAAGGGATACCCAGCAAGCAACTAAGCAACCAACCAAGCAATCCGGCAAGCAACTAAGCAATCCCAGAGCAAGACAACTCCGCGCACGACACTCAGTCGCAGAGTCACTGCGCTGGTCTCGACAGGGAGCTCGCACCCGGGCTGGCAGCGCCAGATCTGGCGCACTTGTGAATCGAGGACTCCCACCGAGTGATCCTAAAGGCCCGAAGCGTTGTTGAGGGGGGTGGGGAAGGGTCACGGATCCAGATGACGCGAAGAAACAATAATCATAATACGATCCTACAGGGGCTAGATTCCCGGAAGCGAGACGCAAACTCTAATTATGCTGCTGAGGTGAGCATCGGAAGAAAGCGAGCCGATCTTATTTTGATCGGATTTATCGCGAATCGGAATGGTGCGAGGAATCCTCCGGTTGCAGGAGGGACGTAGCTCTTCGCGTTGTTCCCGTTTAGGTCGCTCGACCAATTTGGTCTCATCCAGACTTCCCGATCAAGGCTCTTTGATCGGCTAAAAAAGTCGAAGATCCTCACTAAGGAACAATGAGATGCGACAGAATTCCTCCTCCCAATGGAGACGGTCGCGAATGTACCAAAACCTCCAAGCCGTATTGCAATAAATTTCCGCACAGTTTTGTTTCGTTCTCCCGAGGCGTGGTTCGTGGTCCGTGTTACGACGCCGTCGTATGCCCTCCCGACGATGCATGTTTAATCAATGCATCATTTTGCGATACCATCGCTCTCGATTCCGTCGCTGATGAGACGGTAGCGCTGATCGCAAGCTGTGGAAGAAACCGGAGCCGAGAGCTGGTCTTCCCCAACGTTAATGAGAAGAGAGGGAGGTCGTTAAGGCTCGATTGGAACAAGCGTGATGACCGCTTTTTTGGAGTGCCACCGCAGACAGGTCTTGTGCTTTTCGACCTGTGCGTTCTCCGATGTGCTGCCGAAGTAGCGGGGATCCCAAACGGGGAAAGGAAGCCCGCTACAAATAAGCCTTGTCTGAGGTCGTCCCGACGCTGCGAAACGTCGGGCGAATCGAACGAGTCCCCGGAAATCGAGGCCCCGAGAGCGCCTTGGATCCCTCTGCGGGATGATCGCCTCAAGTCCAGGACAGGAGATGAAGTCTCGATACAGGTACGTATGCATTTCCAGAATTCCCCAGTCGCCGCGGATACGTCATGAGAGCCTCGAGCATTCAAATTACAAGAATAACAGCGCCGCCGCTCACTTTCGTCGGATAAATTGGGTTTTTGTTTTCATTTCTCAATCGACCTCAAAATTGAAAACACCGTTCACCGAGAGACGGGAACATTTTCCACCACAGAAGCGCCTGTGAGGACATCACAGACACCGCTGGTTGCATTTCGCGCTTAACCGAACGAATGATCATTCAGATTGACGTCGTGGAAGCGTATCCAGCAGCGAACCAGAACGCTCCCGTATTTCTCCTGTCGGAGTGGAACGATGGCGTCCGAGCCGCCGTGGCAAGACTCGTTACATGCCTGCGGCGCCTGAACGGCACGAGAGACGTGACGTCTCTGATAGGGTTCCTGCGTACAGCACGTCTTCCCGAGGCGAGGACGGTGACGAGACAGCAGAGACATGTCACTGGCTGACTGTTCGAGACGAGCCGATGGGATACGAAGGTGCACCTCCACCCTCCTCATGGCGAAACATCTTTCCGTCCTCGTATGCCTCGCAAGCTTCCACACCGACGAAGCCGGTCGTTCTACGGCGACGACGACGACGCCAATCCTTTACTGATCACATTAGCAAGCCGTCAGCATAGATTGCTTTTGGCAGATCTCTGCACTGCTGCTGGGCAAGCAGGCAGCTAGCCTGACAGGCAGGCAGGCCGGCCCAAATTAGAGGAGGAATAGGCTTTAGAAAAAAAGAGAGGATAAGAAGCTTTGGTTGGTTGGCATGCCCCACCTCAGGGGAGTGTCCACGTTGCATTACTCATCTCGTGCTTTTGCTGCTGCCGCCGCCGCTTTAGCTGGCAGGGCAGCACCCTTTTCCCTCCTTTCTTCGTCCTATCTCGAATTATGCCATTCTTTAATTCTTCCCCCCGTTGGCCAATCGGCGTTCTCTCTCTTGTCTCCCCTTGGTCCCTTTGGGCTAGCCGCCCGGGAGCGGTGAGGAAGCTCGAATGGTGGTGGTGGCAAAGCCGGGAACAGCAGCTACATAAAAAACATCTCTCAAGTCTACTTTTTGTCAAAGGGTTCGTTGGCTGACTGGATGGTTGATCAGCCAGGGCTCGGTCACACACGGGGCGACTTCGAGTGAGGCGAGCGAGCGAGCAAGAGGAAGAACGACGGACTGATCGTCGTCGTCGCCGCCGCCGACGACGATGGCAAGATCTCTTCGCCAACGTTGCCCACTGGCTGGGTGGGGCTGCTTCGACTTATCTGGAGCCGATTGAGGAGACTTCCACAGCCGTTGCTGCTGGCAAGCTGAGGGACAGCGGAGCTTGCCAGCAGCAAACCCATCAATCAAGCTTCAACCCGTTTTATACTTCCTGCAGCGGCCGGAGCGACCGAGACCAACTAGCCGCCTGGGCGACCGACCGACCGACCAACCAACCGACGAGGCTCACGCCCGGTCGCTTTGAGATTCGAGGCTTCCTCGTGTCTTCTTCTCTTGCCTATCTTCCCGCCTGAATTTCCTTGATCACATGGACTACTACGTCGGTGTCGATATTAAATTCACATTGGACGGAATACGAGACGCTCCTACGGAAAGTTTCACTTTTTCTCTTCCATCTTGCATGCCCCGTCGATCGGAGCTCGGATCGTGAGCCCAGGAAGCTCGGAAGTCGCTAATTATCGGATTCCGCGTACGTGCGGGATAATCGGGACACACTCGGATTTGTTGCCTTGTTATCAGACGAGCTCAGTTTGCGCTCGCTGAAGAGTGTAAACATCAGCGAGTCGATTCCGATCAGTTCGTCAATCTGTTCACGCATCTCCCGTCCGTCGTCCGTGCGTGCGTTGGTCGAGTTTATCGGACACAAGCTGTGAGTAATTAATCAACTTTATCGTCAGCGTTGTTCTCGTCGTTAGCCTGTTTTTATGATGTGATAGTGCCACTGTACAATAGTCTCATTAATATCGTCTGCTCTCTTTTCAGCAGAAGCAGCAGTAGCCGCAGACAAAGAGGAGAACAATGACGCAGGCGGTTAACGTTAACTGCGACTAAGGCCGGTAGCAAATATGAAGTCGTTGACAAAGGTCTTCCTGATGGTGGCAAACAGGCTCGGATGACAAGCCGTGACGCTTTGTCGCCCCAGAAACTCCATCGCCCCCTTGCCCCCCCCCCCCATCACGGTCCTCAGCGCCTCGGATCTCTTCCAGCTACCTGGTTGTCATCAAAAAATCCCTTGCCCTCCTTCCCCCATCTCTCGTCTGCCCCCGCTTCTCCAAAAAGAAGCCCCCCACCCGCATTCAAGCTGAGCGGAAGAC